CCGGCAAAAAAAAAAAAATAAATTTTGCCTATATAAAAAGGACGCTCGTCCTTATATCCTTTATATAAAATAAAAATATTATAATAACCTAATACACGTTGTTGGTTTTATAAGTATTTGCATAATACATAAACAAATTTTTACATCCAACATAGTGAAGATGTTTTAAAATCATTTTTTCGCGTTTGATTGGTATGTTTTTTCATCTGAAAAATGTTGAAATTTTGAATTTTTGGTATTCATTTGACTTTGTTTTTCATGAAATTTGTCAATTAAAGAGATATAATTTTTTGCAATTGTTAATAGAATTTGTTCCCGTTGCTGAAAATTTAAAAAAGTTGGAAAACCATTTTTCCACCAAAATCCAAAGAAAATCAATTCCATAAAACCATGGAAAAGGGGGTCACGGGTCATGTGGGGGTTGGGGAAAAACAAATTCTATTAAAAAATTTGCCATCAAGCATGTTATTTTGGTGGATGGAAAATCCAGGATATCAAACACAATCCTAGCCCAAGAAGGACCAGACTATGCTCATGTCTTAGCCTATCATTAATTTTTGTCCATCCAGCATTTAATTCAGTAGTTCATCTACCAGTGACACATAATGAAAACCATGTTTGGCTAAGCTTAAAACAGTAGTTATAAGTAACTAAGTAATGTTTAAAATAAATAATTCTTTCATACATTCAAGATTCAAAATTGGAAACAAGTCAATAACTCTTTCAAATAGGTCAGTACAATTGGGACAATTCAGTTATTTGATTTAGATCAAACTATTTTAAGAGAATATCACTATGGATGATAATCTAGTGAAGACAAAAGTCTTTCAATTCATAACATATATATATATATATATATATATATATATTTGGCAAAATGAAAAACCGAAAATTGTGGATGAGAAAAGCTGGAATTTTGGTGTGATAAATTTGAGAGAGAGACAGACCGAGCTACGGCCGGCGCATCCCCGAATTTGTCAGAAGTTTCTCTCACTAAAATTTCTCCTCTCCCTCACGGTATGTAACTTGGCAAAAAAATATTTTTTTTGGGGCCAAATGTTAAATAGAGATAGGTGGTATTGTAGTTATACGGCGTCGTATTGAGGTGTCTGCTATAGTTCAAGGATGGGTTAAACGGTGGTTAAGTGAGCATAAGTTTGCAAAATACTGGGATACGATTGTCCTTGGAAAGTTGATATTTATGAAATTGTGTCGATTGAGATCAAATGGACGACTACGATTTTTCCGTGGAAGACAGGAGCACACATGGCATTACATGTTGACACGTAATCATATAGGAGAAATAATTATGCACAGACATACAATTTAACGGTGAAACGAAATTAAAATACATCTATTTACAATGATTGCTTAACCCCATGATATCCCATTCAAAGTTGAGAATGTGAGGCGACCTAGTTAATTAATTTAAAGTTTACACCTGGTTTGTAATCGGGTAACTATTTTTAACCTATAGGTGAGAGAAGGAAACAAGTTTTACTTGAACTGCTTTTAAGCTTAGCCAAACAAGGTCGAAAGACAATCCTAGTGAAACATCATAATTGACACCCATGCGGCAGCTCCGACTGAGCTCTGATCTACGCGTATATGCACACAGAGGCACACGGAAACATGCATTGGGGGAGTTTGATCAACCGGGCATCTCTTGTCTTTCTTGGTCTTGCCTTGTTGTTGTACTACAGACATCTTCCTGCCAAAAATATTGCCCAAGAATCCCCAAATTCCATTTATGAATTCACTGTTAAGGTAATTATCAAATTTACTGTTTCTTATCATGGTTTTCTTTGTTTATCGGTCTGTATCTCTGTGTGGTGTGTGAGAAATTGTCCTTTTTCTTGAATTAAGTTTTTTTTTTTAATCTATTATTCCCAGTTTCTTAATATGTAATTTATTAAATGTTTTTGATAAACAAAATTACTATTGATGCAAGAGCATTTGCCCCGAAGATGGCTTTTTTGTAAGATAACAGAACGAACAAGCATTAGGATTATTTCAAGCAAAAAATTCGTAAGAAAGATTACACTTTTGGATGTTTGGTTTAGATTACACTAAACCCTAAAAAACACACACTGTTCAGAGTTTTTATCAGCTCCTGAGTTTTTGCGTTTTTCATTCAAAAAGTGGGAGAGAACATTTGATAATTATTCAAGCAAGTTTTCGAATAATTGATCTGCAATGCTACTCCAGAAGAATATGCTAAAATTTTTTGAAATTCCTATTCAATCTCCATAGCAGTTAGTAATTTGAGGGTGCTTATTGCTAACCCAATATTAACATTTTCCAGTTACACAAGTGATAAATTGTGACCTTTGAGCCTAAAATGTTTGGCTAAGCTTTAAAACTTTACTCATAAGTAGATAAATAAGTTTTTAAAATAAATTATTTTTGTTATTCAAAGAAAGCTGCTTACTTTGACATTGAGGGAAGAGTTACATTCAAAAAATCAATTTTGCCACTTAAAAAGTAAAACAAAAGTAACTGATCCACGTTTAAGCTTAGCCATACCTTCTCTAAAGGCTTTTTGCTTTTGGACCATGGATATGTTTGCCGATTGGTTACACCATATATTTGGGTTTTTTATTTTATTTTATTTTTTCATAGCAGCCTTAATTCTCAAGAATTAGATATTCCACTTGTTTGTTTTGTAGTAGTTGTCCATTTAGGAGAATGATCTTTTTCTTGTGGTGTTGGTTAATTTAAATTAAATTACAGGATGTTCGTGGAAATGATGTGCCATTGACCAATTACCAAGGGAAGGTTCTTCTCATTGTGAATGTTGCTTCAAAATGGTACATGATTTCACCTGTTTCTGGTTTGTAACTATTAGGCAATTTTGTTTGAACTCTGTAGTCATCACTGTTCTGTTAAGTTATATTTCTGATTTTCTCATTTCTGCCCTTTCTCTTCGAGTTTCACTTACATCGTAAAAATTGTGCCCATATAACATAATGAGCATACTAATTCAGATAGACATGGTATATTTTCTGAGAATGAGAATTCGATATATGACCTGTTCGAAGCTGCCACCGGTAGTGAAATGACGCATAATTATTTTGGTGACAGAGGAATAGCTCATAGATGCGATCTACCTCATGACGATAGATAAATGTTTATTTTTTGCGAGTACTTTTTGACCGGGGTTGCTGAATATCAAAAGCATATCACACCGAATCAAATTTTTGTTTAATGAGTTGAGGCCATAGGCATTATTGGAGAAGAAGAACTAGAACATGATCAATGCTAAGAGCTTTGAGAATTCAACAGGACATTCATAAAGTTGATCTTTATGAGTGTTATACGACGTTTTGAGAATCTTATGACCAATTTAGTTGCAAACCAGTGAACGATTTGCGATCTAACATAAAATACTCTAAAGAGACAGTTGGGTATTTTTAACATTGGGTGTGAAATTTTCTCTTGGAAATGATTTCTTGGCCATACCTAAAACAATAGGACGAAGGAAACTTGATTATAGTTGTTTTATGAAATACATTCCAATCCCTTTGGCATGGTGTATCTTAGGTTTGGTGATGCCTTTTCTTTGATCTTTATTTTATGTCAGTTGAATAATATCATTCTTCTTAGATGATCTTCTTGCTGTATTGCTATGTTTCTTATTTGCTTACCTTAAAAAAGATATTCTTTTGTGTTTCCTTTAGCTTAAAAAACTTAAATCTTTTGAACCATAATCCCTGCATTCTTCCTTTTTACAGTGGTTTAACACAGTCAAATTACAAAGAGTTAAATATTTTGTACGAGAAGAATAAAGACCAAGGTTTGTTAACCAATTTTAACATTTTGGAGCTGTCACCACATGTTTTTGTCTTGATTGGTGGGTTCTGTGAGGCATACGTAATGCAATCATTTCTTCTTAGGTTTCGAAATATTGGCATTTCCTTGCAATCAGTTTGCCTGGCAAGAACCAGGAACTAATGAGGAAATTCAAGAAGCCGTTTGCACAAGGTTTAAAGCAGAATTTCCAATTTTCGAAAAGGTATCCCTTTCCAAGTTAGATTATTGAATTGTATATTTAGCCCCCGTTTGGTAACCATTCTTCCAAAACTCTTTTTTTTTTTTTTTTTCCATGCTCATTTTCAATCACACATTCTTACAATAAAATATTCTTCACGTGAACTCAAAACTTTTTCCTACTTTACAAAAACCACCCATTAGCTTTGCCATTAATCTGTTTCTTAGTGGAGAGATTTTAGGACTCCTTGACACCAATAAATTCCTGTTACCATTAACGAAGTTTGAAAAACAAAATTTCTAACACAATCTCAGAGGGAGATATGTGCCAAGCAGGGAGGATTATAAATTTTTCTTGACTGGATTTTTTTACTTGGAGGATTATCAAATTGTCCTAAAGATCATTTATTTTTCTCACTTTGCCATTTCTGCATGTTTTTCTAAAAATTCAATATACTGGATGAAACTATAAACGAAGTATATTTCGCGATATCCTAGGTTGATGTTAATGGGAATAATGCAGCCCCTCTCTACAAGTTCTTAAAATCGGAAAAAGGCGGTTTGCTTGTAGATGCTATCAAGTGGAATTTTACTAAGTTTCTGGTGAACAAGGAAGGAAAAGTTGTGGAGAGATATGGTCCTAGGACCCCACCTCTTGAAATCGAGGTAGGACAGTTTGTTCATTTTCTTTCGTTAGTCATGTATTTGCTTGTTGAGTTTTGGTGGAGCTAAATTTGGATGAAAGATGTTTACCAATCAGACATTGATTATCATGGTCATACATACTCGTTTAGTAGACTTTCTACCCAAAGCCTTCATATTACTCTTCGAGTCGCTTACCAATTAATTTTCGATTAACAAGGATTACATAAGATATACTCGTGGAAAAAGTAAAATAGGTTTGAAGGAAATATTTGTTTACAGGAATAAGTTATATTTTTCATAATTATTGGTTAAGGAAGTTACTTATTTTGATAGTAATACAGGGGTTACTTTCGTATTTACTTATTCCAATTTTGATCAACAAAATTCATGAAACTAAATTATTTGCTTATATAAGTATATTTACTTTCTTTAGCTTAGCTAAACATGCACATTAGAAAATGCTAGAGACAACTTCTGAATTTGTTTACATAGATTTTGCTTTTCTTTGGAAGTAATTTTGATATCAATTAGGTTTGTATCTAATTGATCTTTTCTTCCATTCTTCCTCTTGCAGAAAGACATTCAAGATGCTTTGGGCTTATCTTGAGTACCCGGTTCTACTTTCTCTTTCCCGTCTTTCATTTATACTAATCACATCTATTATTTATTTACATCAAGAATAGATACATATTAATGAGGACATCCAGTTATTTATTTTAAGTGACATCCAGTTTATTTGTTTCATTTTAGTTGGATTGTTATTTTGTTTATTTTTAGTTAGGTTATTTTTTCATGGACTTGTGTAATGGGCTTGGCCCTCTCTCTTTAGGTTTTTGTTATTTAAATCTTTTTCGCCATGTAATAAACAGTTGATGATTGAATAAAATTATTGGTGGCTTGTGGCGAATTTCCCCTCTCTTTTCCATTATTCTTCTCCTTCTTCTACTGTTTCCCCCTTCTGCCATCCCTTTCCCTAATTTCTTCTTCCTATTATTTGGTTTTCTCGCTCTCTATTCAATAGTTCTATTGGTGCTGCATCAAATTTGGTATCAGGGCTAAAATTTGGGTAATTTTTCATCTAAAATCCAAAACTTTCTTCCTATCCTCTTCCCAAAAACTTGTGGAACAGCACAAACAAAAAATTTGTTGTGAGGCAGCAGTTTTCTTGTTCAATATTCTTTCTAGTTGATTAGAAAAAAAATCGTTACTGTTCACACCCGAAATTTCAGTTTTTTTTAAATAGATTTTTCAGCAGTTTCACCCAAAAATAAAAAAATAAAAAAAATTCGCTACTATTCACGGGTACTGTTCACACTCGGAGTTTCATCTTTTTTTAAAAAAATTTCAGCAGTTTCCCCAAAAAAAATAAAAAAATAATTTAGTTTTAGAGTTTTAGGTGTTTGCTGCTGCTAAGTGTGTTGTTTCATAAATTTCATCCCTAACAATCAAACCCTACTTACATTCAGCCTACATACAAAATCAGCCCACCTTATGTTAACCCAACCCTATAATAATCCATATACCCACATATAATTATTACCCGCGAACCCATTCCTTTTATCAAGACATTTGGGCCACAAACTAGGGGCTCAAATTACTCCCAATCCCAGTTAAAACTCATTCTCACTTAATCCAATTCAAACCCACAACCCATTTCTTCTCTGTCACCACGGCTACCATAAGCAACAATCACCAGACAAATCGTCCCACCTACACACAACCCAGACACAGTACACCCCTTCACTTCCACACTCAGGATAGAAGTCACAATCGTCTCCATTGCCACCTGCCGTCGTCAACAACACAATAGAAGGACAGTTTCTACATACACTACCAGCAGAACTAGAACAGCAGTTACTCATATTCACAGTAAACCACCTGAAGCGAAGGAAAGGACGCAATTATATCCAGAGCCCACGTGTCAGCAGTTCGAGCAACTAAACGACAGGGAGTCCTTGACCTTTATTTATTGTTGCTTTACACTACTTTTACTTGTGTGGCCGTTATTTGATAATTGTAGCCTTAAAAATCCACTTGATCAGGATTTGTGAGTTCACATCCATTGTTCCCCGATTACCCCCACGTGACTAGACCTTTCGAATAATCATTTGTATCCTTGCTTTCTATTTTATTTCCATCAGTATTATTAGCTTGCCACGTTCGACCCTACGTAATCCTATCTTTTTTTTTTAGTAACTTAAAAAAAATAATAATAATAAAATAAAATAAAAATAAAATAAATTGCTATTTTACTGTTGGCACCCGTTGTTTATTGATCTCAGTAGTGCATTTCACTTAGCTAGTGTTACTTTGTATGCATTTGCGTAGTGGTTGCGTTACTACCTCTAGTTTGCCTTGCCATGGATCCGTCCCAAATTGAGGCCCTCGCCCGACAGTTAGCACAATTACAAAATCAATTAACGGCTGTCCAAACTGAGGTAGCCGCTACTCGTGAGGAGTATAGAGCCTTAGCCGCTAGGTTGAACACTCTTGATCCAACCTATATTTGACTGAAGCTGAAAACTCTGAAACTTCCATTAATAGACCTCAACGTCGTCCACAAGGTGGTTGACACCACTCCAGATATGATTGTAGGGAAGGAAATCAGGCTCGTGGACGAGAGCTAGAATATCACCATTATGATACACAATCTCCCTCTTGCTACAAGGAGCGCCTCTTTCGAAATTTTAAGTTAGATGCCCCTATATTTGATGCTTGTCTAGATTCTAGTGTATTCAATCAATGGGTTAGAGATATGAATCGCTTCTTTGCCTGGTATGGGGTCCCAAAAGATCGGAGGGTACAATTTGTCAGTTTGAAATTAATTGGCACTGCTCAACTCTTTTGGGAAAGTGTTGAGGACCTCCTGGAGAGGCGTCATGTTTCCCCTGTTGGGAGTTGGGATGAAATGAAGCGTCGCCTTCAAGAAAAATATTTATCTCAATCTTACAGGTGTAACTTGTTGGATCAATGGAACGCACTTATGCAAGGCAATTGACCCATGACCGAATACGTCGCGCAGTTTGATGAGTTTCGAATAAGATGTCAGGTCGTTGAGGATGAGATCATGACTTTGAGTAAGTTTAGGCAAGGCCTAAGAGATGATCTTAGGCGTGAGCTTGTCCTTAGAGGCGTCACCACTCTTGACCACACCTACTATTTCGTTCGGGATTACGAGTTAGTGACTAGGGCACCGTATAGAACTCGTAGTGACACTCGTACTGTAACCTATTCTGCATCCACTCCATCCCCTAAATCTAATCTAGGGCCTCCTCCTTCTAATGGTACCTCTGCATCAGATAGTAAAGGTAAATGTTCTAAAGTTTCAAGGGCGTCCTCCCATTTGCAATGCTTCAACTGTAAGGATTTTGGTCTTATTTCTTCTAAGTGTCCTAGCCGAGCCCTAGTTATGGAAGAGCGTGAAGGTATAGTTGACGGGCCATTAGAGGACCAGGTTTATGAACCTAAGTTAGAAGAGTTTGATGACTTGGAGGATAGTGAGGATACCTTCTTAGGTTGTATTCAGGCTAGTCCCCTTATCCCACATACGCCTAGAGTTGGTGTCGTCCGTTGCACTCCTACTCAGCCTAGGAATGCCGATGATTGGCGTCGTCATGCCATCTTCCACACTTACATCAAGATCAATAACAAGGGCTGTAAGGTTATCGTGGATAGTGGCAGCTGCATTAATGCGATTTCGATGTCTACTGTATCCCGTCTAGGGTTGAAGCCAGTTCCTCACCCTCAACCATACAGCGTCTCTTGGGTTGATACCTCTTCTATAGTTGTCAAGGAGCGTTGTTTAGTCCCTATCCAGTTCCTCGATTATTAGGGCCATATATGGTGTGATGTCATTTCAATGGATGTCGAGCATATCATCTTGGGACGATCTTGGTTATTTGATCTAGACGTAACCATCTATGGTCGATCCAATTCCTGCTCCTTCATGTTTAATGGAAAGAAGATTCACCTTAACCCACTGCCCTAAAGCTTGTTGGCTCACAGGAAACGAAGAAGAGTGTGGAACGAAAAGGATTGTATATCATTAGTCCTACGGAGTTTGAGCGTACACTTGTTGGTGACTCAATTGTGTTCGCTTTGGTAGTCATGGAGGTTTCATCTAACTCCACAATAAAGAGCCCTGCTGAAGTCCAATCGTTCCTTCAAAAGTTTTGAGATGTCTTTCCGGAGGACCTACCTGATCATTTACCTCCTCTATGGGACATTCAACATGCCATAGATTTCTTCCCAGGGGCATCCCTTCCAAATTTGCCTCATTATAGGATGAATCCTACCGAGCACGCTGAACTCCAAAGGCAAGTGGATGACCTCCTTCACAAAGGATTCATTCGTGAGAGTTTAAGCCCTTGTGCAGTTCTCGCCCTGTTGACCCCTAAAAATGATGGTTCTTGGATAATGTGTGTGAATAGTCGTGCCATTAATAGGATAACGGTGAAGTATCGTTTTCCCATTCCTAGACTTGACAATATGCTAAATAAGATGGTTGGGGCTACAATTTTTTCGAAGATTGATCTGAAAAGTGAATACCATCAGATTAGAATCCGCCTAGGTGATGAGTGGAAAACCGCCTTTAAAACGAAAGATGGTCTTTATGAATGGCTGGTCATGCCTTTTGGGCTAAGCAATTGGCCGAGTACCTTTATGCGGGTAATGACACAAACTCTTCGACTTTTCATGGGTAAGTTTCTTGTCGTTTACTTTGATGATATTCTCATCTATAGTAAGACTAAGGAGCAACACCATGACCACCTTACGCTAACGTCAAGAAGTGCTCTTTCTTCACAGATACAGTTGTTTTCCTGGGGTTCATTGTGTCTTCGACAAGGGTATCTGCTGACCCTGTCAAGGTTCAGGCGATTCTTGACTGGCCTGAACCTAAGACTATTCATGACGTCAGGAGCTTTCACGGCTTAGCTACATTCTACTGTCGCTTTATCAAGGGGTTTAGTACTATTATGGTGCCTATTACGGAGTGCATGAAGAAATGGGAGTTTCATTGACACATGAAGCAGCTAAGACCTTTAAGTTGGTCAATAAGCAAATGACGGAGGCTCCTGTCATGCGTCTTCCCGACTTTTCCAAAGTCTTTGAGGTCGAATGTGATGCCTCCGGGGTAGGTATAGGCGGAGTCTTGAGTCAGGATCATCACCGTGTTGCCTACTTCAGTGAGAAGTTAAATGAGACCAAACAACGGTACTCAACTTATGATAAGGAACTGTATGCGGTGGTCCAGGCTTTGCGCTATTGGCGCCACTATTTGTTGCCCCAGGAGTTTTTCATGTATTAGGACCACGAGGCCCTCCGTTACCTCAACTCATAGAAAAGATTAAGTTCTAGGCATGGTCGTTGGATTGAATATTTGCAGGCCTATTCATTTGTTTTGAAACACAACAAGGGCATGGAGAACCAAGCAGCTGATGTATTAAGTCGTCGTGTCTCCCTTTTGTCGATCATGAGTATCAAGGTCATCGGTTTTGAAAGGTTTAAGAAGGATTACGAGGCATGTCTCGATTTTAAAGATATCTTTCTTGATTTGCAAAGGGGACAATCAGGCACCACATATAGCTTTCGACTTGAGGAGGGTTATCTCTTTAGAGTCAATAAATTGTGCCTCCCTCGAACTTCAGTGCGCAATTTCATAGTGTGGAAAGTTCATGCGGGAGGTTTAGCTGGTCACTTTGGGCGTGATAAGACCATAGAGGAGGTTGAACGCAATTCTATTGGCCTAGTTTGAAGAAAGATGTGGCTAAGATTGTCAATACATGTAACACTTGTCAATTGGCCAAACAAAAGAGGCAAAACATAGGTCTATACACTCTTTCCGTCCCTAATTGTCCTTGACAAGATGTTAATATGGATTTTGTGTTAGGATTGCCACGCACCCCAAAGAGACATGATTCTATTTTTGTGGTTCTCGACAGTTTCTCGAAAATGGCTCATTTTATCCCCTGTAGCAAGACCTCAAATACGTTCAAGGTTGCTATGTTGTTCTTTAATGAGATTGTCAAATTGTATGGGCTTCCTAAAATCATTGTGTCCGATAGGGATGTTCGTTTCACTAGCCATTTTTGGAGAACTTTGTGGCAAAAGATGGGTACCAAATTGAAGTTCTCTACGGCCTACCACCCCCAGACTGACGGTTAAACTAAAGTAGTTAATCGTAGTCTTGGTAATTTGTTACGATGTCTGGTCCGGAAAAATCTTCGTAATTGGGATTTGATCCTTCCTGTAGCTCAAATTGGTTATAACAACTCCATGAATTGTTCATTGGGTATGAGTCCATTTGAAGCTGTTCACTGGTATAAGCCTAGTAAGCCGTTAAATCTCATTCCTATGTCCCCACAGTCTAGAGTGTAAGTGTCAGCCGAAGTATTTGCACAATATTTTCGTGATTTGCATATTGAGATCAATAAGAACTTGAAGCTAGTAATGCTAAATATAAACTCTATGCTGATTTGCATAAACGATATATTGAGTTTAACATTGAGGATTACGTTATGGTTCGCATTAGGCCAGAGCGGCGTCTACATGGACTCGCCTCCAAATTGCAAGCCCGTAGTGTTGGTCCTTTTAAAATTTTAAAGCGAGTTGCTCCAAATGCATATGTTGTGGACATTCCACCACACTTTGGTTACCACTCTACTTTCAATGTTGAGGACCTAGTAGCTTATAAAGGTCATTTCATTCCCTCAGACGATCATTTGTTACCTCCTTTTGTGGACCTTGATCCCGACTCTTTGGCCACTTTTAACCCACTACCACTTTTCACAGTATACACAGATAAAATTGATGTTATTTTAGATGAAGAAATCGTGTTAACTAATGATGGGGAGGTTCAGCGCTTCCTTATTCGTTGGGTTGGTCAACCAGATTCTGACCGTATATGGATCTCCAGGAGACACTACAGCAATTGGATCCAGATTTATTTGAGCTTTATCGGAGTCAGCAGGATTTTCCTTGGCTCAGATCGCCTCCCGTTCACCCTAGAGGAGTTGGTGAGGACACCAGATTCAAACCTTCACTGACACATTTCTACAGACACCGGAAGAAGCTTGCCCAACCACCAACCACTCAGCTTATGGTTGGGAGATTAACTGCAACCTATATTGATATATTCACTCGACAGGGTTGAGTTTTCTCCCACCCCGGAAGAGTTGATGAGGACATCCAGTTATTTATTTTAAGTGACATCCAGTTTATTTGTTTCATTTTAGTTGTACTATTATTTTGTTTATTTTTGGTTAGGTTATTTTTTCATGGACTTGTGTAATGGGCATGTCCCTCTCTCTTTAGGTTTTTGTTATTTAAATCTTTTTCGCCATGTAATGGACAGTTGATGATCGAATAAAATTATTGGTGGCTTGTGGCGAATTTCCCCTCTCTTCTCCATTATTCTTTTTTTTCTTCTACTGTTTCCCTCTTCTGTCATCCCTTCCACTAATTTCTTCTTCCTATTATTTGGTTTTCTCGTTCTCTATTCAATAGTTCTATTGGTGCTGCATCACATATCTTTCTTGAAAGAGAAGATAGGGAAACTTTTACCTCTTAATGCTTGGCGATGTTGTCAAAACAACCTGTATTCTTTTCTCTTCCATTTCGCGGTCTATTAAGTTTCCCTAAAGAGGGAAGGGGAAAGAGCGCTTTGACCCTTGAGATCATATAGGGACAGAAAGGTGCGAGTTCAGTAGACGCTTTGGCAACTTATTTGGCTTAAAAGTTTTGGGATCCACAGTAGTGTGCATATTGGTCCATACAATTTGTGGGTCCAAGGTTTACAAGAAAGCCACTTGTTTGCCTAACACGCTCTAAGTTATGTTCAATTGGTTATGTTAGTCAGCAGATTCAGGAAAAGTAGACGATGGAGATTTGCCTAACACGCTCTAAGTTATGTTCAATTGGTTATGTTAGTCAGCAGATTCAGGAAAAGTAGACGATGGAAATTGAAATTGACATAGAGATGTTCAATGAAGAATCAGCTGAATCCAAATGATAGATATATATTCAGATGAATTTGGCTGATTAGAAAAATGAGAATTAGGATCACTAGAAATGTTGCTAGATTTGAAAGAAAAAGACAAAAAAAATGCGAAGTGCATGTTTGATATGTTGTTGTGGATTGAAATTGATAGAATAAAAAGCAATATTTGAACTAATCTTTCTTATGTATCATATTATAATACAGTTTTGTCCATTCAATCGTACCAAAGATGATATAGTTTATAGTGCTCCACTCTAACCCCGCCTTTCGTTTTTGACCTTGCAGGACTTAAAGGTGTTATCCTGGAACTTCCTCGTGTGCAATATTTGGAGTTTTATCTTTATATGGTTTACTTTCAAGAATTCAACTCTAGACCCTGAAGTCCTTTCTTCGTTAGTCTTGTTCATGTGAAATACGTAAATCTTTGTTCTCTTTTCTACTCATTCTCAATGTTATAACTTCTTGATTCCAAAGAATTAAATGCAGTTGGATTTGAGGATAAGAGAACAAGGCTTAATGTTAAATGTGTACTTGTGCAAAAGCTACAAAATCAAAACACACCACAAAATTCATCTTTTCATGTGCAATAGTTTTTAAAATTGAGTGACTTGACTTGATCTGCTATGTTATTATGTCGAATCATTTTATTTTAAATTGAATGGATATTTACGAGGCATGCTACATGGTGAATAATTGATCTTATAGTTTGGGACATTCTATTTTAGAATTTCGGTTGTGTTTATGTACGTAATGGTTTACATACACGTGATGTGAAGAGATATGATTGTATCAAAATTTCTTTCAAAAAAGAAAAAAAACTTTCAACTCTCTTTTTGACATCTCACCTATATGTAAATTATTATACATTTTCATTATGTACAAGTAGCAATATTTTTAAAATTTTGTGACGGAGAATTAAAAAAAATCTAATATGATGCAAAGTCAAAGATTAAAAATTAGATTGATTAAGGTAATTAATAGGGCTATTTGGTGTCATAACAAGTTATGACGCTTGTTTTTGAATTAAAAAAAAAAAATCATAAAAGGGTGTTAGTACGACTTGCGTACGCATTCAACACTTATTATGACACAATTTTAAATTGTCTCATTTTAAATTTTTAAATGTTAAAGATGAGCATATCTAAAACAAATTCATATTGAATTGAGTTGAGAAACAGTATGCACGACTATTCAAATAATGCCAATATTTTAAATTGGTGTTGATCAATATTTTGGAATTTTGTTTATCCATGACAAGATGCCAATCCAATGGGCCAATAATGTAATGTGGAAAAGTATTCTTATTTTATTTCTAAATATTCCAATCCAACTTGGCTCGATCGACTGACATGAACTTTGGCAACTTTTACATAAGAGTTTGGTAGCAAAGGCGGCCATGAAAATTCAATATATATATATATATATTGTTGATTACGTGTGTCATATTTTTTGTACATTGGAAACTAACTGATGAAGTGAAGGAAACGAGCCAGAATACCGAGATCATACTATTTTAATCCCATTTGAAGCTGATAAATTTATTAGCATCATACCATGAATGTAGGCATACTGTAAAATCACTTCAATTACTTTTTGTTGATCTTATTGTGCGACAGTCATTTGTTCAGAACTCTCTCTCACAAGCTCTGTCTTAAAGTTTCACAACCGTTGCCAGGTGTTTGGAGTGCACCTTGGATGGAAGGAAAGAATAATTAATGTTCCCCGGCTCTAATATTGGTCTATGGGAAAAACCCATGATTACAAGAAATTCTGTCATTCTACCTACAGTCGCATCGCAGATGATTAGATTGATTTTTTTTATTCTCTTTTCATCTTTCTATCAATTCCTGTGTTGTTTGTCAAAATTTTTTATTAATTTCTTTTGTACTTATATAGCATGATTCAATATTAGTTAGGCATTCTAAGATTCTTTTCATACCAGTTTGTCTTGTCATTTTCAACTTATGTCACGAGTTAAAAGTTTCTTCAAAAATATCTCATTCTCCAAGTTGATGATTAGACCGAAAATATGTTACTAGTGCAGTCAACTTATGATTAACAATCAAAATAAAATAAATCAACGTTGCATTAATCGAAGAGTTCACCAAATTTAAATTCTCTCTTTGGAAATTTTGCTAAAGATTGTTTATTAGTATTAGTTATGAATTTATGCTAATCTCACTTATCAGTAAAACTACTTAATAGGTAGCGGTGATGGGTGGAATATGATCAATATTCCCTCGCCAATAATAATCAAATTGTTGGAAAATACACACAATGGGGGAGGTGGATAATATTTTTTTATAATATTTTACTCACGTGGTGAGTATTCTAGTTGGAAAGATAAATGGTTTTTTAAATTGTCCATGACAATGTGCCACGTGGTATGTTGTCAACAATATTGTAAAAATAATTGTACACCAAACATGATTGTTAATAGTTTAAACATCTAGAATAGACCCTTTAACATATAAGTCATGATAAAAATCCACGTGAAAGAGCAAAAA